GTGGTTGTAGTAGTTGTGGTTGTAGTTGTTGTGGTTGTAGTAGTTGTAGTTGTAGTTGTTGTTGTGCTGGTAGTGGTTGTAGTTGTTGTGATTGTAGTTGTTGTTGTACTTGTAGCAGTTGTTGTTGTTGTTGTAGTAGTAGTTGATGTGGCTGTTGTTGTAGTAGTTGTGGTTGCAGCTGTTGTGGTGGTGGTGTCGGTGGTGGTTGTTGTAGTTGTTCCAGTAGTTGTCGTAGTTATTTCTGTTGTCGTTGTTATTGCTGTGGTTGTAACTGTTTCTGCTGCTGTTACGTTTGTTTTTGCTGTTGTTATCATTGTTGTTGAGATTGCCGATTCTGTATGAAGCAAAAAGATTGAATGAGATTTTCTTTATAATTTATTATTTCTCCATCTTCTAACGATACAAGATAAGCTGAAAGTCACTTTACCGAGTAAAAATATTCAATGTTCAAATCTTATACATTGATTCAAATAATATTATTGTATGAAAGTTTTCGACACAGTGATAGCTTTTACATATGATCAAACTTAGGAAAAAGCTATTATTGATGGTCAATCAAAAATAAAGTACTGTTGTTTATTGTTATAATTATTATCATGATAATAAACAGATTCTTCCATAAATCTCCTATCATATATGAGATTTTCTATAAAATATCTAAACTAATGTCATCGCATATTCTCATTTACATTCTTATATCCTAATCCTCAAGAATAGAAATCATAGAAAATATCTGAAATTTAAATATTACTGACCTAGCGTACAAGTTGCACCAATCCAGCCGCTTGTGCATGTGCAATTATCAGGAGCGGTACATTGGCCACCATTTTGGCAGCTATTTGTGCATACAGCTGAAAGAAATCATAGAAGTTATTAGAATCAATCAAACTTTGAATTTACATTACCTATTGTACATGTGTCACCACTCCATCCCGTAGTGCATGCACAAGTTGTAGGACCTGTGCATTCACCACCATTTTGACAAACAATTGAACATGGTTCTGAAAAGAATAAGCATACATTTATAAATTACATTGTTCAAAAATCTAGATAAGTGATAACAAAAACAGTTTACTCACCGACAACAATACCACCAGAACCGGAACTATTTACATTGTTACTATTGCCGTTGGGATTAGATTCGACATGACACAGCTGTACAGGCAGGGTGCTTCCATCGTCTGTCGTGATAGTAACATTGATTGCAGTGTTGAACTTTTGATGAATACCGGTAAACAGAGCGACTTGACACGACAAATTTTGGCACGGTAAATTTTCTGGATACGCCAGTGCGACGTCGAAGACAATAGCAATCCCGGGACGATCCGTTTTATCGCATTGAATGCTATATATAAAGTCATAAGTAAGTATGGTTAGCAGAAATATATTAAAAAGAAATTTACTCGCGGCGACGTCGACCTCTGGTGCCAGCCGCACGTGCACTGCTGATAGCGTCGACGAGGATGGAACCTGAGGGAGAACCGGTTGCTTGCCGTAGCTGAAATATAATACATATTATGAATTAACAGAAATGATAAAAAATACGTTTTCAGCGGTTGCCTGACGATTGGTAACCGATTGTGCTGCGCGTTTTCTCGCAAATCCAGATGGTAACATGTAAGATACAGTTAATGAAGTAAGTGAGTTTTCTAGTAAAGATTATCTATGTAAATGAAATAAAAACCACAAAAATAAACTAACTAGCAGCCGTTAATGCTTGCATGGCGGTGATGTTGTCGATGTTATTATTGTTGTTGATGTTAAAATCGTTTCTAGATACATACAGGGGAATCAGCGAAAGAACAGTTGTGAACGCAACAGCAAATAGTGCTAGTGCGAAAAGACCAAATATAGATAACCTAAATAATTAGTAAAAGATGACAAAGTTAACCAGTGACCCTCAAAACTTACGTTCGAGAACGTCTTAAGTTTATATGAACCATAGCTTTAAACCAGGTGAAAATGTGGTGTCCTGAAATCAAAGAAAGTCTTAAATTACTTATCTATATGAAAATTGAGTGGTGGAGAGGAAAGTTTCGTTGTGGGCCCAGCTCTAAAGGGTAAAAAAGCTGATTGAATACGGGATTAGGGTGGGGATCAGCTAAAAGGAGAGCGTGGCCCGTTTGGATACCTAGTCGCATCGCAAATAGACTTCGACTGAATACCCAAGCAGATGACGCATTAGTTTAGCTGAGAGTGGTGTATAATATCTTACTATCAAAGCAGAGCCAAAAAAAAAGAATCGGTTGTGATAATATATAGTATGTTTTTCATTTCTTGTATAAGCTCTGTCTACTACTTTGTAGAATAGGTTGATGATGAAGTACGAAATCTATAAACCTTGGTCCGTATTTATTATAGTTAAAATATATAAGATACTGTCATTAGATAAATCTGTTGATTTGGAAATATCTCAGTAACTATATATATATATATAATTATATTGCTTCTAACTAAAGCAACAATTCTCACTATGAATGATTTCATTTGAATGGTATAAACTAAATACAAAAAGTATAGAAGTAATTACCTTGAAATAATATTCAAACACGATACAATTCGAAGCAGAGTAATCGAGTATACAAGTTTTGAATTTCAATGAAAGCAAATAATTAAACGAATATGTAAAGAGCATAGGCATTTATATTCTCCTTTTTATACGCTTCAGTGATGCATAAGCAATTATTTTCATTTTTTTTCTGCTTGTATTTTATCTCATTAAAAAAATAAGCAAGCAATTAAGCAGATGTGACAATAAATATTTTTGTTGTTATTCATGCATGTAATGCTAATTGTTTATAATTATTGTAGATAGAAAAAATAAATGTGAGTAATTGATAAGTTGTTTTACAGGCATAAAATATAATTGATCAATTATCTTACAGGAATGAAATATATGTAGGTAGTCATTGGAAAGCTTGTAATTGGATGACGTGTTTTTTTCATTTTATATAAAATTCTTGTGTGTTATCATTATGAGAGTTCTCATAAATATTTATTCGTTGACAGACAAAATCGAATACTTCGGAATTTTTTTCTATTAGTAGAAAGAAAAGGTTGTCTTATAGAACACATTACTCGTTTCAGAAGAAGATGAACATAATTTTCTAGTTAGTTTAAGATATCACTCGATACATAATTCAAATCTGAATTAAACTGAATAGGGGTATCGTCAGCTAACGGTCACTCCTGCGTGCAGCAGATTTAAAATTATAACGATATAGAAATTCTTTTTTTATTAATTAGAGTAGTGTTGCAATATCACTAGATATATTCCACGCTCGGAATTGATAAGTTTACATATCACATCGATTTCATTTTCCGTTACTAGAAGTTTGAGAAGACGATTACATCATAAAACTCACTGGTTGCTCAATTTTTAACTTTTCATTTTTGTCGAAAAAGTAAATCAAATTTTTCACTGAAATTTCGAAACGAAGATAAAAATGAATCAATGGGTTTATAGAAAACAATATAAGTAACCATAACAGAATCGGAAAAGTTAAACTTTATACTTAAAATTTGTAATGCAGGAATTGTATATAAATTAGAAAGAGATTAGATAAGGCTAGGGTGTGGGGTGGGTATCCTTTGTTGATCTAAAGAAAACGCCAACACCCTTCATTATTGGAAGAAATTTTATCGAATAATCGAGTTGCTTCAATTTTTTTTGAATTATTTTAATCCTTGAGCCGTTTAAAGTTTAAACGGTAGTTTTATAGAAATTCAGTTATATGTGATTTCATAGAAAAGAATTAAATGGTACTAAGTGAATATTCAAGCAATTAGAAAGAAATGTTGCTTAATATTTCCATAATGTTAGAGAAAATACTAAATGTTTATTTTAATTAGAAATATTTATTTATAAGAGTCTTTCTAAAGTTTGTTCGTAAAAAATAGAACTTGTTGGTGTCAAGTCTTGTATAAAAACTTTTATTAAATGACTTTTTGGATACTCTGCATGATAATTACAATCAATCATTTAGATAGTACGCAAAAGAAAAACAATTTGAGATATCATTTGTTTGAACAATTACAAATAAATTTTTATATAATAAGAAATCTAACTAACATTATTTATTGTTAAATGAAAAAAAAATGCTATTAAATAGATCTTATTATTTATTTCTTTGGTAAGAATAAAAGAAGATTGAATAATAGAAAGAAAAAGAGCCAAACAATATTGTTTTGATTATTTTCAATTGAATTGTGTGTATTATTCAAATATAATTGTCTAGATTTAGTATTGATAACAAATGTATGCCATTCAGAATTATTGAAAATTTGATTTGTTGTAATATTATTTTTAAGCCAACATTTACCACTTAGATCATTATCTGTTGTGTTCTTATTTCTTGTGAATCCTGCACATGTTATATCTCTGAAACATTCTTGTATGCAATGATATTTATTGCCAACAACTGGATTTCCTTCACAATCTTGTCCAATAAAATTTGCAATAAAGAAATCATCTTCATACCATATATTCAACCAATCATCACTCATTCCACGATCACTCATCGATGGACAATGTTCACAATCACTAAATTCGGCTGTATCAAATTCCTCTTCTTCCAAATAATAATATGCTATTATTGCACGGCATTTGATGATATTACAAGATTGAGCTAATTTTGGCGCCGATAGAATGACGGCAGCACCAGTCATGGACATATTCGAAGCTAAAATATTATAAGAATTTTTATTTATTTAGTTTTTTGTAAAATAAAACTCAAACGATTTATCATATCTTCCATTTATTGTTAATAATAATCAACTCCTGTACATTTTCTTCTGTCGCAGCAGAGATGATATGATTATCTTATCGCTAAAAAATCTCCGATAAAAACTATAAGATTTTGAAATATAATTAGTAAAGAGTGACAAATTATGAAAAAGAAATATTACAAAACACAATAAAATATATTATGAATATCGATAATAATCACTACCTAATTGATTGATAAGAAATAATTTAATGGATATTTATTGGATATCTACATATTTTCATAAAGGAGTATTATCATCAACGAAGATCAAATATATTTATAAAGTATGCAACTGCAGTATCTATCTATAAAAATCGATTTAATATTGAACAAGAAATCTATTTAGAAATGTTCATGGAAGCTGCATTCGTTGCTCTACATATATGTGTATCACAATTCCTATTAAATTTCTATGATATTAAATAAAACTAAACTAAAAAAATATATAAAGCTTGTTTCAAAATACAGAAACTAATAAAAAACATTGATCTTAGGAATTTGATTGTGTAATATTGTCACTCGAGAGGATCCTAGAACCACCGGAAAAAGAGCTACAAAACTATAAATAGATTTCATTTCTGACGCGTACTAAGAGGGTATGTTATGCATCGAAATACAGCTTATTACACTAGTTTTTCTACAAAAACGGAATTTTTATATAGTATTTTCATAGAAGTTTTGATACGTCTTCATTACCTCATTTCAATAGTTAAAACCACAACTCTCTATCTTGGTCTTATCGAAAATTATTCAAAAAAAAATGCGAATCCGCTTTTTATTTCTCTTTTAAGAAAATTATACCTTCAGCTGTTGTTATTGTTGGTGTTTCTAAATCATTAACTTTTTTCATTTTAAGAATAATTATTGAAATAGCAATAATCAGTATTAGTAAAATACAAATTATGATGCACACCAATTTCTTTCGAATGCATATACTTCTAAAATAACGAACTATTTTTATCATTTATAAAAGTTCAGAATATACATTACAATCTTGTTGATTGAGTAAGTTCTGGTTCAGTTGTATTATTGATACCTGATTCAAGCTAAAAAATAAAAAACAATGAGTCATTTCTGAGTTTTTGTTGAAAGATATTTTGCCACTAACAGCTATTTTGCTTGGATCCATTAGTAATACTTCGTCGCAGTTTACCACTCTTTATGTAATTTTATAATAAAAAAAAATCTAGAAGAATTTGTAAAAAGATAACACAATAAAACTGCTGTTTCAGTAATTTTTTTTCTAAAAATACATGTTTTGCTTATCATTTAAAAAAATATCTGAAACAAACTGTTTTCCTATGAAAGATAGAAGAAAATATTTCATAACAATGGAAATAAGACAAAAAGAAAAGTGAATGAGAATAAATATATAAATGATTTACTAAATATTCAATCTGTGAGATAAAATAACTAAAACTTCTTCTTTTTAACACACAGTTCTGTGCTTGTCTATGTGCTCTACGACAGAAACTCCATATTTCTTTGTTGTTTTTCTAACACGTAGGATCATATCTATTGCTTATTCTCTTAACATATGGGACAATGTGTATTATCGATGCATTATAACTGAAAAAATCATCTCTTTTTTCTTCCTCTAACTCACAGAACTATATTTATCTTTATACATTTTATAACTAGGGAAAACCTTATCTTTTTTTTTGTTTTCCTTCAACATTCTGCGCAATATTTTCCTTGTTACGTCATAATTTATTATTTTAAATAACTTTTTCTCGCTGTGAAATACTTTATTATCTATTTTGTTACCGAAATTAAACCATTATTGTCGGTGTTCGTAATGCAATATTCTTTATCATGTGGTATTGTTTTCAATTTCTGAAATTCTAGAATATGTGTGATGGTGAAGTGAAGACATAAGTGCTGATATTATAATCATTCGTTACTCTACCTTAATCTTTATTCTCATATCATACAACAATTCATCCACTACAACAGTGAATATTAAATGTTCTTCAATCGATTTTGATCTACAAATGTGATGTATGTATACTATTCAGGCAGTCCTGCTAGAAGATAAATAACAGATGAATTACGAATTTGCTCGATTACATTGCAAATTTTATTTTAAAGTAAAAAATCATACAAAATTAAATAGAATTAGAAGAAAATAAATAAGTATATAAACTATGTGGAACGTTGATCAGTACGAACGGTTCTACATATAAAACTCTACGAAATTAATCAATGAAAAATTTGATATTAATTGAATAAACACGCACGCATACTATTCCGTGTCTATGCATAATATTTACAACCAGGATCATGATATTTATTGTCATAAATTCGAATAGGCTGGAAGTCGGCCAGGCATATCCAACAGAATTCATGTTTACAATGACAGCATGTCATATGATCACATCCGTCATTCTTTTCAATGAATACATTGCATTTAGGACATTTTTTAGTATGATCTTTCAACCAATTTTGATTTTTTGTTTCTTCACGATCAAAACTCAATGTTTGATCATATTCCGCACAAGTTATTCCAGAATGCCACTTAACTTGATGATGAGCACATGTTTTTTGTTTGCAACGTCTACATGTAAAAATATTTCCACTACTACCATCGAGTTGACAACCCCAACCACATCTATGTGCACACCAGACAAAGTTTTTCATTGTTTCGACGCATCCCTTACTCAATCGATCTTCGAATTGACCTACAGATGTATTGAAATCAATTAAAATTCTACGAACAGTATCGAAATCGAAAATAGCATCACAATTTTGCTCTGGACAGCAAACATCAGTTGTAGAGCGATCGTTTACAATCCTAATTGTATTTTCACGTACACAATCAGTACAAATTTGCCGTTCAGCATGTTGACATATTTTACTAAAGACCTCACCAAAGTCAGCAATAGACTTTTCATTGAGACAGACGACACATTCACGAGTACGTGGTTTCCTCGTTCTAAAAAGATCATATGTATATGAAACGAATATTAAACAATTTATCACTCACAAAATTTGTGGTGCTCTATATACGGTCTGTTGCGAAGATGAAGGTCTAGGCATCTGCACTTGACGATCCCTTGGCATGGATAATGAAGATCTTGTGGCTAAAAAATATCGGAAAAGCATATTTATCAGTATAAAATCTTTGTTTTCAAAAATAATAAAAGTATAAGAGTGAATTACAGAAGTACGTATCCTATCTCTTTTAATTAATCACCAACTTCCATAAGATTTAGAACATGATCTTACCAGCTAAACGTTTATTGAGTGTTATATCAGTAGGAAAATATTCTTCATCTTCTTCATAATTTGACATAAAATCATCTAAAACGGTCGTTGTTTCGGTTATCTCTCGTTCGTCTAAAGATGTGGGAATTCTATACGGTGCTTCTGGTAGTTTGTGCAAAGATGATGATTTTATTGAATTAGTTACATATGATGTTGATCTAAAGTTTCTGTACCTAACAACAATGTTTATCATAGTTAACTAGCATCACAATTATTTGTTACCTTTCTTCTAACTCCAGCCGCAATGCATATTCAATTTGCTCACAATCAGTTCGTTGCTGCTCGTATTTGTATTGAAATTTCTTCTTGATAAGAAACAAAAAAAAATATCTTCTATTAAATTTCAGCCGTGCATATATACCGTCTTTTGTGAGAATTCTTTACATTTTCGCATCAAGTTCAGTAATTCAAGTGCTTTGCAATAAGTGAGATATGCTAATTCTTGATCACCTTTTACATGTAATTGTTGTTTCGCATTATTTTCGACTTCCTCATATAACTTGTTTAATCGTTCTAAAGTTAACGGTTGTGCGGATCGATGAGGAACGATATAATTGCGTAAATCAGCCACGCTTTCAGCAAGGTAAAGAGATATTGGCGTTGTCATTTGTCTGTCTTATTCACAAGAACGTTATTTGATGAATAGAACAATATATGTTATTTCACCTAACTTTACGTTTTAAGTCATAAATCTTATCTTCAACATGCCTCTCATCGAAGTAAAAAAGATAAATATCACGTATGTTGGAGAAAAGTTATAATTCAACATTTACATGTCAGGTTTCTTGAGGATGTGGGTGTACAGCTCTGCTTGATCGGTATATCAATCTCTCATTCTTGCTCTAGTTAACACACGAATATTTCATAGGATCTAACTTAATTCCATAGTTATTTCCTTATGAAAACAGGTCTTATTAGATTTTAATACATATTTCTATTCTTTCTTTTTCAATAAGATGTACTTTAGACAATAAGGAAAAACATTCGACTTTAGATGTTAGTTTATATTTAATAAGTGTAGCTTGTTTAAATTAAAAATCAAAAGATTTGTAGAACTGAATTTAAAAATCAATCACGACTGACGTGACCCATGATCCAATCAATTGCACCTGTTAGTGTATAGATACCAACTCCAGTAACAACCATTTTTCCTGTACCATGTTTGACGTCAGTATCAGCGAGTATCATAACACCAATACGTATATTTACAAAATCTGCCTCGCCTAAAATAAAATTATCATATAGTACAAATATAGATTTTATAAGTATAAATATATTTCATACCTGTCAGTTCTGATTCATCAATTTTAAGATCTTTCGATTCAATTACTAAACCATCGGCCCATAATTTATCTCCTTTATAAATTAATTTTCGATTACTAGTATGAAATCAAATGATTATACTCGAGAATAATATCTTACCCGCTTTGACATGACATACATCACCCACGACAACTTCAACAATTGGAATTTGTTGAATTTTTCCATTTCTCAATACAGTTGCCTGTCGATCTAATTTGGTACCTGACCATTGATTTTTTCCAAATGCGGAACGACGTTCTTCCAAATCAATTTGATTTGACGCATCAAGACCTTGATTTAAATCTCGAACTCGTAAGTTTCTTAGTACTCCCTCGATTCCATCGTACGGATGGGATATACCGAACTCTGTATTGATATTACGCTCATTAGCAAGAGCATAAAGTTGTTTTTTTGTTAGTACAAAAGATGAAGTTCCTGGAGCCATTATGCGAATATATAAAATATTAATAGACGAAGAAATTATTTTTTTCTCATACAATTTTATAAAACTGCGCACACGGTTAATATTTGCTTTAATTGATAAACAGCAAGATAAGAATGTATGTGCATTTGTATCTTTTTGTTGATTCTCCTTTATAATGTGATTCATGTAATATAAAACACGTTGAAATATGATTAAACTAGTTGACACCTTAACTTATGTTTAAACATGTTTGAAAAAAATCTCATTCATTGAAATAATATTAAATATTCGAAATTATAAAATATCCATAAAAGCCTTCTAATTCACTACCTACCTCCGTCTATTTATTCGAATCCCTTAATATTTTTTAAGAACCATTTTTTTCTGCCACTGAGGAACAATTTTCGTGCATGTATATGGGACAGACTACTTTTGAAAAATAAAAGAAAAAGGTAATGTAGGCATTGATTTAATTTGCTTTTCTTTTTATTATTCATCTGAAATTGAATACGAATTTCAAGTGCGATAATAACATTGTTGACAAAATATTTTGTTTATTATTTCATTCTGAAGCATGCTGAAAGAGAATTGAGTATTTCAAATTGCTGCGTGATCACACCCCATCCAGAAAATGACCAACTACCATAAGCCAGATCGACATATGTTCTAGCGGGCACACCAAGAACAGGACTAAAACCTATAAAAGAGAGCTATTCAAGTTAACGAGTATCATTAGACTTCTTTTTTTCTTGAGGATTTATTCGCGGGCCAAAATATATATCACTCATAAAACAAATATTTTGTTTCTTTAATGATAAGTGCTCGTTTATAGAAAGAGGGAGTCTTCACAGAATACTGACCTGATACATCGTGAAACTGCAATCCATACAATCCTTTTCCGGCCTGATAAAATATTCTAACGATGTCGATCACTCCCTTAGGAGCATAAGATTTCGATTCGTTTCCTGTCCGTTGCCCCCATAAGATGTTGAGTGTTGTCCAATCAGTATCAATAGCTAGAGACATTTGATTAGGATCATTCCAGACAATAAAATTACTGGGATATGACACTCCTTGAGCCACGTGGAATGTAGGAGCAGTTGAATTGATGCCGAAAGTTGAAGAACAACAGTCTCTACCTAGCATAGTCCAATTAGTAGGACATGCTGTGTAAGCGGAATCAATTAGGAGTACAGCAAACGTTAGGAGCATAAAAATATGAAAAGACATCGTTGATATTGGTATGAAAACAAAACGACGTGTCTATCACAGCAGCGTAGAATAAAAATACAAAAAATAAGAAAGAACACACAAGGAAGATACGAGAGTTGTTGTTGATGATGATAAGAATTTTGTCGATGTTTTTGTTGTGTGATACCAATGAGAGCGAGATATAGAGGGAGGTAAGATTATTGACCAGTTGATATGAGATGTGATGATCAGTGCACATAACGTCTTGTATCATTGATATAAATTTGAATGAAGTCATCTTTTATCCGAGCATGAAAACAACTTTTGATTTCGATAAATATTTATCTATATACCATATGACAGAGATCTTCCTCTTTTGTAATGTAACTAGACTAAGGAGACTTTATTTTCAATTTACTTAGTTTAAAGTGTTCTCCCATTTTCTATAGGTCACAGAATGCTACGAGTTCACGCAGCTCAGAAGAAGAAGAACAAAGGTTGAGAGAAACAAAGAAAGCGAAAGACAATAATATCAGACATGATCGTCTTTTCTGAACATAGACTAATATAGAAAAAAGTAAAATACGTCCGTTGGCTTCTTTTTACTGTCAAAGAAGAAAAAAAAGTACAAAGAAAAGATTATGCAAATTTTAATTCACCATGACGGACGAAAAAATGAAATGACTGAAAATATATCAAGAGAAAAAGAAAAGCATAACATACCAATATGTATAAATACCTTGTTATAATATCATTCTCACATTATCTTCATATTACTGTTATAATCTTTTCAAGAAAGATGGTTGGTACTACGCTTGGAATGACTAAAGATTATAATACTAGTTCAGTTCCACAGAAAGCTGCCGTTCAATTATCACTGGAATTTATTGAAGAAGGAATCAATGCATTAGAAGTCGATTCTGTTAATATTATTGCTGATTTTGGTTCATCACAAGGAATCAATTCTATATATGCAATGAAATCAATTATTGATTATCTTCGAAAAACAAATAAAATTGTTAAAGAACCTCTTGTAGTTCATAATGATCTTCCAACAAATGATTGGACATCACTATTTAAACTTCTCATTGAAGATGATTCATACAATGGTGTGGCTAGTGGTCGTTCTTTCTATGAAAAATGTTTACCAAATAATTCACTTTCAATTGGTTATTCATCATCATCACTACATTGGTTATCAAAAAAGCCATGTAATATATCAGATCATTGTCGTGTAGATCTTATTCGAAATCCCAAAGAATATCAAATATTTAAACAACAATCTTATCTTGATTATTCGGAATTTTTAAAACATCGATCTTGTGAACTTGTTTCTGGAGGTGTTTTAATTGTTACTATACTTTGTATTAATCATCAAAGAACAACAGGACTCGAAGATCTTCAAGAACTTCTTTATAAATGTGCTCAATTATTACCTTTCACGCCTCAAGAATTAGTTGACTTTACATTTCCTGGTTATTGTCGATCATATGATGAATGTCTTGATCAAAATCTTTTCAATCAATATTCATTTCAATTAATTAAATCAAAATTTGTTTCAGTTCCATCACCACATTTTCAACAATGGAAGAAAGAAGAAATTACATTTGA